CCCGGCCCTGCCCGAGGGGCGCTCGGAGGTGGTGCTGGTGGCCGAGCGGGTTGAGCCGGTTCCCAGCCGGCCTGGCCGCGTCGCTTGCTCCCCGCCATTCTCCTGCCTCCTCTCCGAGTCTTAGCATATCTACCCCCCCTCGCTCCGTCCTTCGCCGCCTGCAGGCAAGCTGGTCTGGGCAGGCCCAGGACCCAAGGCTGGGGACGAGACTGCACTAGTTAGGCCTGAAAACCCTCCCTGCAAGCGGGGAGTGGGATGTTGCTGTGGTGGTGGCCTGCAGCAGCCAGGCTTTTATAGGAGGCTCACTTTTACAAGCAAAGGATGTTTGAGGAGAGTAACAGCAATCCTACATCCTTAGTTACTGCCTGTTAACGTAAAGCTGAGCCCAGGAAGCCTGCCCCTAGCGTGCCCTTCCTACCCTGGGGGCATGAGAGGCTTCATGGAAACGTTCTGTCTGATACAGGCTTCATAATAGTTCTTACCGTTCTGCTTCAGCTCGACAGCATGGAAAATCAAGTGCTTGAGTCCTCTGAAGAGCGAACATTTCAGTACCAGAGTTCTCTTCCTTCACTGCCAGTTCCTGCTCTTGATGAATCTTTAAAGAAATATCTTGATGCAGGTAAAGCTATTACAATGCCTTAGTGTATTTCACCTTTTTGTAGAGAACTAAAAATTGTTGCAAATGAGTTTGTTTAAGGCTGTCTCTGCTGGCTGAGTATCCCCTTGCGCATGAAGATTTCAAGGCCGTTTTCACACTGCATACTCTTTCTTCCCTTTATTACTTATTATCATGCAGCAGAGGTTGTAGTGGCAGCAACTTACATGCTGCTGGGCAGAGAGGGGCTGGAGCCATGCTTGGTTATAAGTGACAAGAGGCTGCAAGAGGGCAGAGGCTGTGGCAGGCAGGCAGCAGGGCAGGCTGTGGTCAGCAGGGGGAAAGGTTCTGGGGGCAGAAGCTGTGCAGGGGACAAAGGCAGTAGGGCCCAGGCATCATGGTAGGGACAAGTGCTAGGGGCACCAGGCATGGTGGGGGCAGGCAGCGGTGGGGGGGGACAAGT